TGTTAGTACGTTGGCCTGCCCTATGTCGAATGGTTATGCTAATCAGCGTGTGTACCACCATTTTGAAGATGTTGAGCAGATTAGAAACCTAAATTGGTGTAAGTTTGTGATTGAGTGTTTGGTTGAGAGTCACAAGAAATGGTTTGCGGCGCAGAATCAGCCCTTTACCGGTCCTTATTTGTTTCTGTTGGTACGAATTATTCATGTTTGTTATTCTTTCGTATTCCATTTCCCATTAGTGTTGATACTTTTTAATAATTGTGTGTGTGTTGTTTCCAGCTGTTTTATGTGGATAGGGTCGTCCATGGGGAGAGACTTGTGCCCCGGGCGATGCCAGCTTTACGAGGATGGACTACACGTCTTCTTAAGCAAAGGCAACTTGCTGAGTTTAGGGATGGCGGTTTTGGACGTGGTGAGGTTGTTGGGCCATATATTCCGGATCCTGTTGCTCCAGTTAAGGTATTTTTTCCAATTTCGGATTATATTTCTGTGTGTTGGTGGGTGGTTATCAGTTCTGGCCTGTGCGTGGATGCAGTAGTAGTGTGTGCATCTTTGGGGTAGTCTACCTTGTTGTTGGTGAATTCGGTTTACGGTTAATTTGTTTGGTTGATGGTTTGTGCGTATTTTGTAATTGGTCTATGCGTATTTCTGTAATCTGATAGTGGTGCTCTGTGCATGAATACTATGGGGCTGTTATCGGTTCTGGTCTGTGCGTGGATGTAGTAGTAGTATGTGCATCTTTGGGGTAGTCCACCTTGATGTCAGTGACTGCGATTTAGGGTTAATTTGTTTAGTTGCTGGTATGTGCGTAATCTGTGATTGGTCTGTGCGTATTTCTTTAATCTGATAGTGGTGCTCTATGCATGCATACTATGGGGTTGTTGAACGCAAACGTGTGTTTGTTTTTTTGATTCTGATTGGTGTTTGAATTCGTGGCCAACCATGTATGCTTTATTTTGTTGTTGTGAGTGCGGGGGTGTCAAGAGTTTCCTTTTATTTTTTCTATTTCTCTGTTAATGACTTAATACCATTTGGTGTAAACTGTTGATGAGATTTTAGTCGACAAAAGTGGTATGGTTGTTGGGGCGTTGGATGATTTGATGCAGTTTATGGAGCAACACAATGATCGTGCTGTGCAGATGGAAGCTGTTTCGAGGGCTGTTGCTGGTGCACGGAGATTCTTGCTATTGGCCGATCGTGCTGGAGAGTCTGGCGGGGCTCCTCATGTTGAGTCTAGAGCTGTGGGTGCGTTCAGCGATGATGAGATGTGGGGGGACCCTGAGAATTTGGATGCCGTTGATGCCTGTGTCGTAGCTGCTCAGCGGGAGAAAGCTGTTGGAGGTGTGCCACACTCTAGTTCAGTCATGGTTCAGCAACAGTCCATTGTACGTTCTGTAGAGGCGGTAGTTGAGACTGGGGATGGTGATGGTGTTGATGTTCAGGCCCCGCAAGACGTGCAGGCTGTTGTGGAGACCCCTGTAGCAGTTCGTAAGGTTGGTCGTCCGCGTAGAAAAGCTAGGCGTCTTTAGGTTCTTTGTGGTGACTATCTATGAACTTTTTTTTTGGATGTCTTTCGCCACTAACCCGTTTTTGTATTTTGTTATCATTGTGTTGTGGCATGCACGGGGGTGGTTGTATGTGACGTTGTTGGTAACTCTATGTAGTTTTTGGTTGGTACATTATGTATGCACAGTCCTAGATTCTGGTTAACTGTTCTAATGCTTCGATCGTTCCCATTTTCAGTGACCAGCTCTATATGCATTCTGTCTTTTATTTAGTTATACACATGATTTTGTTTGTATGACTTTTTACTTGCATTCGGTAGGGTATGTCAGATATTCCTTCGTTCAGTCTTGGCTTGTCTCAGGATTTGCCTAGTGATGGTTTGTCTCAGTTTTTGCCTAGTGGTGGCTTGTCTCAGGAGTTGCCTTCCGAATGTTGGGAGGTCGTCGATGCAATTGTTCGTGAATACAACGCACGTACACCTGACGTAGTGCGGCGGGGCTGTTCATCTGCTCCATGTGATGCGGTAAGTGCGATTTTGTACTATATGGGAGTGAAGTATTTTTCGTGTGTTTTTTTTTAAAGAATGGTCTAACGTGTTTGTGCGGGGGTTTTTGACGTGTTTACTCTGGGTGCGTTTTCTTTTTTAGCTGGTGCGTTTCACTTGTTCTGCCCGTTGTCATTTTTCACTGTCTCTCGATCAGTCTGTGCGGCTTTTTGCTGGTTTGTGCATACCTGTGTATTTCAGTTGTGTAATAGGCGTTTCATTTGTTCGTACTATAGGTATGCGCACCTGTCACACACGATGCGGCTGCACGAGGTACGGCTTCGGTAGGTCAAGACCCACGAATTCCTGTGCCTTCGAAGCGCGGTCGGTATGCTGGTGCATATGGTGATGGTGTGGAAAATTCAACTCCAGTTGAGGTAGTTGTCTATAAAGTTGCTTTACCTTTGTTGGGCCTTTGCTGTTTCATTCCTTTTAATGGATGTTTTATGTGTTTGGTGGCTTGTTTCATTCTATGTTGTAGCCTCTTGTTCCACTCGTGCCTCCAACTAGTGCGATGACTAATCAACCTCTTTGTCGTGCGCCTACCAAGCTACCACGTAACACTTCTGAAAATGTTGATGCATTGAGGACGCTTGACCTTAATTCGTATGAACCTCGTACACGCGCTCGTGCTGTGCTCAGGCCCCATGCCCCCGTCCCCGATGCCAATACTGTGTATGATTGGTTGCTTGGCGGTAGACAGTTGGACATGTATTAACATGCTTGTTTTTTTGTTTTGTTCATTGTTGTGTGCATTTTTACGTTTTTTTTTTATACAAAATTATTATATATGCAGGGATGAGGAACTATTTTATTATGGTGATCGGTCGGCTCGGAGGGCAGATTTTGTTTCTCTGTTGGAAGGTAATAAGGTGATGGTTGGTATACTGAATGCTTGGACTGCCATTTTGACTTATAAGGAAAGGATGAAGGCGGTGGGTTCACCTTCCAGATTCTTTGCGTCTCCGACTACTACGGTTCTGCTCTATTCCTCGGTAGTGTACGTTTGTATGAATGAGTTGGTTCTTATTTTAGCTGCTTGTTATTTGAGTGTAGTTGTTCTCTGTTGTTGATCTTTCGGCGCCACACTCACGTCGGTTGCAGTGGTTTACGGATAGTATGGAGGCTGAGTTGGACTTTTCTTCATATACGGCATGAGATCAGTTTGACATGGTTAGTGCGTTGTCTGTCTTTTTTTATATAATCTGCATTGTCGGTGGCCGCTCAATTTACTGTGCCCTTTTGTCCTTTTGTTGCAGTTTCTTTTTCCTATCTTACAAAAGGGTCACTACTACGTCATTGTAGTGGATCTCAGGCGCATGCAGTTTGATGTAGTTGATAATTCATCAGCTGGTAATCTTTCGCTAGATAAATATGACCACGTCCCCACGGTGCTGGTATGTTTGGGTCAATACTTTTACATTCATATGTGCTCGTATATGCTTCATTTACTTGTTGTCATTCTTGCAGCACGAATTGCTTTCCGTTTTCTTTGAAGATATTGGGGTAACTGAGTTGTTCATGAAGGTCACGGAGTTAATTCCCCGTAGGGTTCGATTCACATGGCGTGATGCGACAAACACATCTGATTGTGGTGTGTTTGCCATGCGTCACTTGGAGTGCTGTATTGGCAAATCATATGCTTCATGGGACTGTGGTCTTCGGAGGGGCGATGCGCGTGCGGTGCAAGCTCTACGGGTCCGGTTCATGTATGATATCTTGATGTTTGAAGGCAACACTCATCGCCACTCAAATGTCAACTGTGTTATGCGCTCCATTGCAGTGGTTCGTGACAGGCCATAATTTTATTCGGATGTTTTTTAACATTGTCAACCACATTTAATAATGTTATTTATGCCATTTTTTTCAAACATAGATTTTGTTTGTTTCTGTTTTGCACGGCAACATTGATTTTTACACTTGTAACCCGAATTTCAGTAATACTTTGTGGTTTCTGTTTTGTCACTTCCATTTTTGATGTCTGTTCTCCCATGGTGGTCAGTCAGGGCCGTGCTTTAGTTCAAATAAGCAAGACACACACTTTACAACAGCTATGCTTTTGAAATTATATGTTTGTCTACCTTTTTTGCTCATGTTGTGGGTTCAATTTGTACGGCTGTGCGTCATAGTTGTTCACTATGTGCGTATCATGGTTACGGTCCGTGCGTATTTGTGCCTCAATATTTCGGATTGTGCGTCCTGGTAATTCTTTTCTGAGCCATGTTTGCCTTTACAAATTTTTGAACTTGTGTATAGTACTAGCGCTTTATTGTCCTTTATTAATTTAGTATTCTCAATATATTTTCTACGCTTACATTGTCTAATTCTAATAATTGACTAATAACTCTATGGTGTCACGACATCTTCTAAGCTTAAATTGTTCGCTAAAATATCAAAGTATTCCCATTACCGTTTCCCCGGAGCAGTACTAACCATGTGCGTCGTCTCGTAACGGTTCGTGCGTCAGAGGAATAAATTTTGAACCATGTTTGCCTTTATACATTTCTGAGCTAGTATTTAATCTTATCGATATTTTCGGCTTTATTAATTCAGTTTTCCCAATAAATCTTCTACGCTTTAATTGTTCATTACTAATAATCTACTAATAACTCTATAACGTTAAGACATCTTCCACGCTTTAATTGTTCGATAGTAATACTAAATTATTCCCGTTTCCATTTTTTCGACGCAGTTCTGTCACTGTGCGTCGTCTAATATCGGTCTGTGCGTATGCTTGTATGTATGTATACTATCACCTGTACTCACGTGTAAACTGTATTTCTTTCGCCTGAGCTGTGTATTGGTTCTCGCACATGCATGCTGTTTTTTTTTTTTTAAAAAACCACCATGTAATGGTAAGAAATAAATACCAACTTTATTTTTGTCTTAATATAATAGTCCAAATAAAATCGTAACGATATGAGTATTTTTTTCAACTGTAATACCAAGTTTATTTTTGTGGACAACTCCTACTATTGTGGCCGGTTGCTAGTCCACAGGTCTTGCATGTCCGTTTCTTCTTACTTTGCTCTTTCATTGCTATCTCTTTAGCACTCCTCATTCGTTTTCCTGACCCTTTGTTGCTTGAAACGGGTGGTGGGTGCACATTGACTTCCACAGGTTCTGGGACGCCACAATATGACTCCATAATCACTTGTTTCCCTTTATCTAGACCCCCTCGTTCTCTCCCGCGCTCGGACCATGTTGCTTCGAAATCCTCTAGTGTTTTTCGAATCGGCTCCAACTTCGATCTGTCTCCTTGTGCTAGACCTAGGCATCTGTATAACAAATTAATTATGGTGCTTTCTTTGGTACTGTTGGTTGAAGAAGTCCTAGCATGTTGCAGACTATCATTTCCCACTCCTTTTGTGTTTTTTAATGCTGTTTTTGTCCATCGTGGGTTGATATGTTGGGGAGGTGTCTGCTCGATCCGTTCGTAGATTAGCACCGCATAAGCATGACTGCATAACAAACCAATCCGTGTGTACATTCGGCAAGTGCAGGTTGTTGTGTTTGTCCCATTCTCTACTATTACCGTGAATCTCTTGTTGTATTCATCTTCAACCACATACGTGCCTACTGGGCCTTCATGTTTGACAGAACGCACTCGGCAATCAAAACATCCGGCGCATATATTATCTTGTACCTCGTAAAACACGGTTAATGTGTACTGTGCCGCTGCGTCTTGCTCTATTCGCAGTTGCGTTTTGAACGGGGGTGTTTGTGCGTTGCAAGCCCCAATAAGATCCGCCTCTGTGATTCGTTGCTTTCTAATTGTACTCTCGAGCCGGATGAAAAATTCCGAAAGACACATGTGTTTGTTTGTGTTGGTTCGGAAAATTCTATTTTCTGCTTCAGACCGGGATGTTGTACGGAGTAGTCTGCCCATAAACACGTTTTCAAAACATGCAGGCACCCATTTCTCACGCTCCTCGTACATACGCTTCAGCCATGCATTTTCTTGTAATTCGTACTTTTCAATAACTCCTTTCCACGCGACTTCGAAATAGTCCGAACTCGCGCTGTCATTCCACACTACATCATTTAGCTCCCTTCGGAATTCTTCGTTTCGTGCCAAATCTGGGCTCACTTTATCACTCACCTTCGTCATTATGTGCCACATGCAATAACGGTGTCGGGTCTCCGGGAATTCTTTTGTAATTGCTACCTTCATGGCCGGGTCTTGATCGGTTACTGTAATACGCGGTATGCTGCCCATTGCGATCTTGAAGTGCCTCAGCGCCCAACAATACGATTCCACATCTTCCCTAGCAATTAGTGCTGCGGCAAATGTCACGCATTTTTTGTGGTTGTCTACGCCTGTGAATGGGACAAACACGAGACTGTACCTGTCATACAAGAAAACTAGTTACTTCTCATGCATATACTGCCAGTTTTGACAGTCACATACGTGCCCATTCGTGTGGTTGACACTTTTACGCTCACGCCTCAACTAACGTACGCACAGCAGAATGCTATTCACCCTATATCACTCCATTTACATTTTAAACAAATACACAAATAATTTTAAATAAGGCTCTCAAATCTCTGGTTCACCCTCAACGGTAACACACATAATACGATTGCAATTTTAGTTTTTAGTTTCCGGAATTGCGTACCTGTTTGTTTTGTACATTGCATCGAATGATACGACATCTCCGAACGCACAGAATTTTTTCCGTGCCACACCGTCTGCCCAAAACACACGTGCCAATTGATCTTTTTCGTTTGCTTCGTATTCGAAGTACATGTCACTGTAGTCAAATTTGATATCAAGGTATTTTGATATTACCATTTGTGCGTCTCTACCTTGCATGTATGCCAACACTTCCCTTCGGTAATTCTTGAAATCTTGCTGCGTACAACCCACATTCTCAACTCCGCCGACTATCTCTGCGTATATGTCAAAGCTCTTACTGGCACCGACATTAACCTTTGAGCAATTTGTTATGAACTGTTGATGACCAACATCTAATTTCCTATTCACTTTCAAGAAAGGCTTGTAACTCTCCTCGCACAAACAGTGCGTGTGTGCCTCTTCGAATGTCGTCACAACATACCGTCCCGTCTTGTCTCGTTTGAATACAATCCTAGCCATGCACCCAACTCTTGTTGAGGGCCGCCGGCGTCTTGCCTTGGTTGGTGCATCACTAACAACCGACCCTGTGTTTTTGGTTTCTTTAAAACCTTCACGTGAACAAACCATCTTTTTCCTCAAAATGGCCCCATACCTGTTCTTCTTGTCAGAACTTCGCCGCACATCAAAGCCAGCTATATATGCATACTTCATGTAGAATTCAATACCGTCGTCTAAGTTGTTAAAAATTTGACCTTGTGCCGGCTTGATGTTGGGGTCGCACTCTGTTACCCAAGTCTCATTGCCGCCTGGTGTTACGTCCATAACACATTCTCGCTGCCAGGCATCATCTTCCATGGGTAGTGGACCGACAAACAACATATATTAGCAAACTGGTAGTCTGTTCTCGGACCACTGTTAGCCCAATATGCATCAACTACTTATGTACCACGCACACGCCACTAAATCCTGAAATCATAGTGTTCCTAACTCTTACGAGGACAGCTACACGCACACACCTTCAACCACGTGTTAGTTTGTGTCAAAGTGCACATCAACAGTTTCAATATAAGTGTCAATTCCCCACATTCCTAACTCCGTCATTTTCTCTTATTACGCACACACTCCTATACTAAACCCGCACAAATCCACCACACCATCCTAATACATTACCCGGTTAAAGAAATTTACACACTTGTGCATCTGCTTACTCAACCTCTATCCGTCATACAATGTGCTCAAAAACGCCGCCTAACACTCCCAAATTATTCTCCATCCGTCCAACAACAATTATATATCAAATTAATTACCATGCAGAAACACACATACCAATTAACCAACTCGCACATACCTTTGCTGCCTGAAGCCATGTCTACAGTCTGCGCTTCGTCTGTCTCTAATCCGCCGGTTACAATGCACTCTCACACTTCCTCACGCGTTTTTTCTCTTACCCGGCATATGAACATTTATATAGCCTATAATATCTTCCCTTATATCATGCTTAAGATTCCATTAATATACTGTCCATAATTAAACAACTAAATACAATTACATTATGATCCTTGTGATTTCTAAATCTCCTTATTTTGTTACAAATCTGATCTCATCTTGACCATTCATGGAAATGTAATCAATGGATATAAAGAGTTCTCATGTGCCCATGTGTTATATGGTGTGCACCGGATTCGAAGCCTATATATATATATATATATATATATATATATATATATATATATATATATATATATATATATATATATATATAATTATTTTTGTAATTATATATTTTTTATTTTTATTATGTTATGTTAGCATATAATATAATTTTGTTTCTCAAGTTCAAGATTTTAGTTAATATTCTAAAATCATGTAATTATATATGATACCGTTATCTTATTTATTTATTTTAATTTTTTAAATTTATTAAAATATATGAAAATATGTTAAGGATATTATAGTGTGTATGTATATAATAGATAACCCTAAACCAAACATGATTATATTACATACCCCAATTTTAACCAAACACAGGAATCTAACATTCCCAATAATCTAACATTCCCAGCAATCTAATATTCTCTAAGATAATTTAACATTCCGTGAATCAAACGACCCATTAGGAATGGGAAAAGCTTTTTTTTTTTTTTTTAAAGAAAATAAATTTGTCACACTCCCTTTGGATGATTTGACAAGGTAATCAGTTTGATTTCAATTTACAGCCACAAAAACATTTGACCAACGCAAAAATTCAATCACATTTTACACTCCTTTGTTGCGTTCCACAATGGGTAATATGACATTTCAAACACAAATTGTTTCGAATATCAATCCCGTGACTATTAGAACACTTTCTCATTTGGTCCGTAAGCAATTATTTTTGTCACATTTGATAGATAACTCTTCTTTCTTTTTTTTTCTTTTTTTTTTTGTCACTTTTAATCCTTTAAACCAAATATTATGTAAAAAAGAATCATAATACATCATATTTCCAATTCATAATCATATATACACATTTAAACATATAGGCTCTTAGACGGTAAAACGTATAACTTTGATTTAGAAATGTAACTTTTCTATAAAAAGTTATGTCATAAGAATTAAATGTGGTGATGAAAAGACAAAAATTATGCGTCAAATTAAATATGATAATAATTAATATTTAATATATTTACTTTCTTGGTTTGAACCATTAAGTTATGTTTAACATAGACTAATTTATTTCACTTTTATCCTATGTAGACTTGGGTTATAAGGTGTGACTTATTTAGTGTCAACCTCAAATAGTAATGACGGTTGATTTTCCTCGTCACTGAACAAACTTAATAACTAAATATATAAAATTGATTTTATTTATGGCCCGTTTAGTTCATGGAATAGGCCGGGAATGGCATAACATTCCCAATAATAGGCCTATTCCTTTGTTTGGTAATCGTTTCTATTACTGGGAATAATATTCCCGATAATACCCTATTCCCCTAGATAAGGTAATAGCTATTACCAAGCCCCCCTTGGTATTAGGCTATTACTGAGTTCTCAGGAATAGCCTAAAATTTCTACTTCCTATTTTACCCCGTCACCACCACCAGCACCACCACCCCACCACCCCTACCGCCACCAGCACCAGCACACCACCATCACCACCAGCACCGCCGCCGCCACCACCACCACCATCGCCACCACCACCGTCGCCATCGCTACCAGCATTGCCGCCGCCACCAGCACCACCACCCCACCAACACCGCCACTACCACCACCACAGCCGCCGCCACCATTGCTGCCATCGCCACTATCACCGCCACCAGCACCACCACCCCACAAGCACTACCAACACCACCAACACCACCAACACCAGCACCGCCACCACCGCCGCCACAACCACCACCACCACCACCACCGGAACCACTGCTGCTACCACCACCACCGCCGTTGCCGTCACCACTACCACCATCAGCAACACCACCACCATCGACACCACCACATATTTTTATAAGGGTATTTATGTCTTTTAAAACATATTTCATTTATATTCCTTAAACCAACCAAACACGGTAATATAATTCTTAAAGTCTATTCCTTCCGCAAACCAAACAATATAATACAATTCCTATTCTATCCCTTGCCTATTCCATTCTTTATGGAATAACATTCCTATTACCTCAAAATTCATTCCGTGAACTAAACGTGCTGTTAGTATAACAAACAAAAGTAAAAATAATTCTCTGAAACGCTAAAAAAGTAAAAGCATATAGTATTATTGGTATGAGGTCATTGCACGTAAAAACCTAGCTAGCCTAAGATAATGCTAGTAGGAATTTCTTTTTCTTTGCAGATGATGACGACAGTCCTAAACCGAAAGTAGTCAGTTTCATTCTCTACCAATTTCTGCTTTTCCATATGTGGTTGTGTATGGTGGCTCTAAAGTCAATCAAATCTTGCAGCCAATATTCCACTTGACCCAGAAAGATGTTGACCCACCATATACAGATTCCTGCCTGAAAACCCCTAAAGATCTAATGCTATATATTTGGTGATGAAAAAACTCCTAAGATTTGATGCTATATTGAAAGACGAGAAAAACTTGTAAGTCATTATTGAGAGTATGTATTGAGTAAATTTTATTTTTGTGTGATATAATTCACAAATCGTATATGACAAGAATCATACTTCATTCATTTGGCTAATTCGTACACCATTTTGGGGTGATTATTTGATGTTATATTTTGATTTGTTGAGAAGACTCCTTAATTATGATTTGACTACCCAAAATTTCTCAATGGCACTTATTAAATAATTTGATTCTCTTTCTAAAGGTTGAATCTCCAACCCCAAAGGCCTTCTAACACTTTGGTCCGACAGAACATCTGGAAGAATGTAAATCATGATAACTCAACTAAATAATTTGATTCTATACACTAGTTGTGCACGGTATAGCTATTAAGATATTGAAAGTTTTTTTTTTTTGTTCTTTTTTTTTTTTTGAAAAAGATATTGAAAGGTTATGCAATGGTTTGATAAAAAATAATAATAATAAAAAGAAGAACATTTTCCCATGTCATACTTTCTTTAATTTAAAAAAAAAAAAAACACTTTGATTAAAATTTTATCGTACTAAATTATACGTGTTTTAAATAATATAACTCGTGATAAGTGTTACATCATTAATTCACTATATGTATTTGATGGTTTCATTGAGGGTTGATCCAACATGAACCTTAATTAAAATATAATACGAATACTGTGAGGTAGCAAAAAACCTCTTCTATATACTGAAAGATGAAGGGTTGCATTGATAATGGATGTCCATTCATTAATAAATGTCATTCGTGAAGATCAATCATTTCTCCCTTAATGCCTTAATGGCTACTATGATACTAATAGTTCTTTGAAGTTTGAACTATTAGTTTTAAGATAAGGGTCAAATAAGCCATTCAATTTTAAAAAAAAGTGCAATTAAGTCATCAAATTCTATAAAGCTTCAAATAAGCCATTGAACTTGAAAAAAGATGCAATTAAATCATTTTTACCTCATATAACAGGTTAACAACACATTATGATTTCTAGCTAACTTAGGGTAACCACAGTTTTGGTTCCTAACTAGCGGTTCACGATTCAGAAAATGGTGAACCGACAATTCCGATTTGAACTACCGATTTGAACCTTTCTTATTTGGTAAATTCTATTTTCTATTCAGAAAATAGCTCAAATTCAACAATTAATTTTTTTTTTATAAAAAATATTTTCATTCGGTAATTTTTTTTTTAAATAGTTATTTCAAATATTTAAACTTTAAAGTTAAACTAAAAAATAAAAATAATTATAGACATGCATTTAATTTTACCAAGATTAAATTGCCCATGTATCTTTTGTAAAATTAAGTGCAAGTCCAAAATTTTATTTATTTTTTAGTTTAACTTTAAAATTTCAATATTTGATATAACTATTTTTTATAATAAAAAAAAATTCCAGAATGACAAAATTCCAAAAAAAAAAAATAAATAAATAAATAGTTGCTGAATTTGGACTATTTTAAAAATAGAAAATATAATTTACCAAAAAATAAAAAATCGATTCGAATTGACGGTTCCGGAATTGCAAGTTCGCCCTTTTCTGAAATCGGGAACTGTCAGTTCGGAACTGGAACCATGGTCACCCCTAAATCATCTATAACCTATTGTTAACCTGCTATATGAGATAAAAATGGTCTAATTGCATCATTTTTTCAAGTTCAATGGTTTGTTTGTGTTAAAAGGAAAAATAGAATAGAGCGAAAAAGGGAAAATCACTTATTCATTCATCTGTCATTCTATACAACAAGTATGGAGTATATATACATACAAGGTAATTAACGGAAGCAATAA